GTTTGCGAATAACTTCACCGCATAAGCATGCTGCCACTCCCAGCATACTAATCGAAGACACCTTGAGAAATGGGGCAAGGTATACCTGTAAGGTGGGTTCACAACCATTAAATTCCTTTTATTTTGATTTAAAAAAACGCTCTTCCAGTAGGGGAGGGGGCATCTAGCGTAATAGTTTTCGACAACTACATAAATTCCAATTTTTGCAGCGAGAAGCGTGAGAGAGAGTGAGTGAAGGCAAGATGGTTCACGCACTCGAAGCTTCCTATTCCTGTAAATCAGGATTACTGAAGATGATACAAACTACTGCATCACAAACCCCCTCCCCCATATTGAAAGAGTGCCCTAAAAAATTCTTTCTATTTTTCCAGTAATTCATACAATTGATAACAGCACCTCATTTAACCGAAGCACAAACCTCTAGAAAAAATTCTATCCAACTTGCCAAGGCAGCAATCCAATATGCTACCGAATGATTTAGCAAGAATGAATCCGACTGGAGTGATCGACGATTTGAAATCGCCGTGAAGAAAAATTCGGAAAAATGGAAAACTGAGAAAACGAACGAATAGCAGCAAAACAACGCTATGGGCGACGCTTTCCAATAAAGATATAGAGCAACTGATGATCCACTCAACTTAAAAAAAATTATCAGAGGGAAAAATTGATCGGTCTAAACGCCTAATTCACCTACCAGACCAAGAAACGTCGCCTGTGCACCACAAATAGGCTTTTGCCCTATATATCGTCCAGTGTAATAAGATGCAGGGATACAGATAGCTATCATTAGAATCAAGAATATTGCTCCTAAATACCACGAGACGAGCGCAATAACGAAACTTCCAGCGAAGCAATTGATACTGCCTCGGAATTCGCCATCATTTCGATATTGGCGAGATAACGATGTCCATGTAATTGGCATCTGAAATAACATCCCAGATTTAGGTGATGGACCTGACTTTTGACTTTTCCACCATGAGTGAACAGCCAATGACTGGAATGCAGGATCTACAACAGGATCCGATATACGAGAGTAGGCGAATAAAATAAATGACTGAAAACCATTGGAGTGCATAAAGATGATGGGGAGTAGCTCATACAACTTTTCCCTAGTCACAGAGCTGTTTTACCACATAATTGGTTGTTTGATACCGTAGGAGAACAGAATCACTCAAAATGCCGACTAATCAATATATTCTTATCCCTAGCGTCATCCGCCTACTGGAATCAAATATGGATGCTTTTTCAACCATTATACAGCCCTTAGTACGCTTCTAACTTTTCTAAGATGCGCATTGACTTTGATTCACTTTTTTTTTCTTCACACCTGACTGGAGATCTTCCTACCTTTTGTTTTAGACCATAATTTACCCACATTTGACTGCAGTTTGTTTGATTAATGTGATCAAGGAATTGTTGTAGCGCACCTAAGCGTGCACCAAATAAATAAATAAATAATAAATATGCTCTTTGTCATAACAGTACACCAAATGGGACGCGATTGGCCATGCTGGAAATCTGGGAAATGAAGAGTAATTTTAACTACGGGGAAGGCCACGAACAATCATTTCTGAAAAAAAAACCAACTACATTATTTCCGCAAACAGCCCTGCTTCCGAATCCGTGCATACAATAAATAGATTCATGTTGCGTGGGCGTGATTCGGAGAACTAGATTCGGAGCAAATGTATGAAAGCCATGTTTCAGCCAACAGTGGAGAGGGGAAGAGGTGGTCGATTAGAAAATGCAAAATGATTGATGTAATAACACATCATTCCACCAACACGCATGCAGCGGATCGTCTAAAATGAAGAGCGGAAGATGGACATTACTCTGATGGATGCCCATTACCGCAAGCCGACATCATACTGAGTAATCGCTTCTAATCAAATTCTACCGAAAGTGAGAGCAGCACACGTTGATGAATCATCAAGGTGATGAATGCGCCTGATGGAGTGACTGTGACTGTGGCAGTGACTTCCAGGGCAGGGAAAAATAGCATCAATCGGCATCACACTTATTCGTCATAGGTTTTTACCCGTTTCGATGCCATGAACAACTGACGAAAATGAGTTAAGCACTAAGTCGTCAACTCAGCTATACCTGAGATAAAAAATAGAACCGATGCTCTGTAAGTAACAACTTTTGCTTGCTCAGAAAAACTGAAAGGTCCGTGTGAACCCCTCTCGTTGCCCCCCGAAACAACTAACCAGAGAGGTGGGCGATGAGAGTATACAAGCATTTGTCACGTCAGTAACAATGACTAAAGCTGCAGTTTTAGGGGTACAATAATAGATGGGCAGACGTATGTCTTGCTCCAAAGTTTCAAAGTTGCTTATGCAGGCGGCGCCCTGTGCTGCAAATAAACCAACGAGCAAATCCAGCAGCTGCTCAACAAAAAGAATGACTCAGCTCGAAGGCCAGTGCTGAAACGAGCTGTGAGACACAACAGAAAAAAAAAGGTCTCATCCAGTAAGGGGGGGGCATCAAGTGGCTGCCCTCACCCCCCACCCCCCTAGACTGCCTACACTCCCCCTGGCGCACAGGTTTCTTGAAGTACGGAGACCCCGTAAGCCAGGGGGAGTGAAGCCAGTTCAGGGGGTGGGGGGTGAGGGCAGCTATTAGACGTTGCATCACAATGCCCCCCCTTACTGGATGAGACCCCCAGAAAATAGGTGGTTTCTCGACCCTCTCCAATTTTCCTTTCTGCTTCGTTACACATCGATTCAGAAATACTAATTACAGGTGACCGGAGCTAGTTGTGCGACGACAGGACAGGGAGGATTTTGATCTGTCGCCAAATACCCTATGCAGCACGCTAGTGTGGAAATTGAATGGGGAAGGAGCAGTTCAGAGTGGCTAAGGAGGGCAAAGAGGCTGTTGAAGCATTGGAGAGTAGCCCACATCCTTAGAAAACAAGAGATTCTTCCGGGAGAAAAGTGTGAACTTTCTAGCAAGTGCATCGCGATCAATTCCTTCGCTTTAAAATTCTTTCGACTCCAATCGAAAACTGCTCGACGATGTTCACGAAAATCTGCGAAAATGAACTCAACTAAACCCCGTGCTGCAAAACGGAGATTTCAGGCCACCAAGAATATCGACTTACAAGGGGTAAGCACAGAAACTCCCCCCCCCCCGCAAATAACTGAGTTAATCGCACTTTCCTTAACTCAATTGGCGCGGTTCAAAGGAACGTGTTCAAGAAGCCCGTGGACCCTCCTCGAAGGTTCCTGAGCTGAGATGGAGAAGATTGCTTTCTACCTTTCGATAGCTGGAGCAGCGCGACCCCTGGGGAATAGATTACTTCAGCAGGGTCATACAGCACCAAGCGTTTGACAGCGGGTCTAACTAAACGTGTCTCCGCACTTCTGGCCTGCCGCTGAGGATAGCATAAGCATAGTGAGTTCCCGAATAGTTGAAGAGCAAATTCGCATGTGTCACGGAAACTTGGCTCAAGGGTCAAGCCCAATGAGTTCCTTGACAGATTGTGGACCATAAACTCTTGCTTGAAAAGCTGGGCGGCTGGTGCCTTGTCTCTTCTGAGTCACTGTAACTGAGAAACTACGCACAAATGAGTCAAGTGAAGAAATCGCGTGGCTACTTCAGGCTGGAATGATTACGCTGAAGCTCCTTGAACTCTCCGGTTTACGGATTACTTGCACTTTCCTCTGGTCCTGCCTACGAATGGCGGAGAGCACAGACAATCAGAGAACGGCGCCTGGCTCGGCTCCAAATCCCAAGGAAGGAGGTGAGAGCCCTAGGACTAAGCCTTGGAGGAGGGAGGAACTCCGAGGTGGGTGAGCCATTTACAGTGTGGCAAAAGTTTGAATGTGTGAGATCACAGTGGTCATCAGTCGCTGATAAGGCGAGAGAGTGGGTCGGATTGAGGCGGCTTAAGACCGAGTTCAAGTAAGTCCGTCTACCCTTGAACTCACAAGGCAATGGGAACCAGTTGAGGACAGTGGACAAGGGCCTGCTTCTGCACATGGGGACATTCCAGGAATATTTTTCAGGAAAATTTCTGTCAACGGTTGCAGCAACACTTTTTCGTCTCATACCTCTAGAACCTAATCGCGGTTTCTGCTACAAGAAGCATATACAATCGGAAAAGCATTGGAGTTCGCTGGCCCATGATCAACAGGTTTTCATTTCCAACACTTTGATACTATCTGCCGTGAGCATTTGATTGCGATCATCTCTCTACATTAGAATCCCAGTAAGACTTTGCAAAACTTGTACTCTTTACCACTTCTGCAGTTCGTGGACGGTAGTAATTTTCAAAGCAAAGTCAATCGTGGATTTAACAGGATACATTTCGGGCGAGAGGGACAGAAACTTTACGGACCCGTACTCGTAAACCCTGAAGCTTTGAAAATCCCGGCCTCAATTTCTACAGAAATCAGAAACGAGAAGAAGACTGTGTTGATTCATGATAGTCCCATCAACGGCAGGACTGAGAAGAAAACTTCATGACAAAGAGGCGAAAGCGAATCACATGTGCATGTGTTCGGGAACAAGCGATTCGTTATGCAGTTCTATGGAGCGGAATGCTACCGATGCATTTCCGGCTCAGCACCCGTAATGTAAACGGGCTATAAGATGAGTGTAGACCATGAGATCAATTTAAACCATACGGGAACAATAACCATCAAAAACATAGTGTGAATGAAGAAAGGTTCATAAAAATATTGTCCATTAAGATATAAGTTCAACAGATCGTGGCTTCTTTCCCTACTACACCGACAGAAAACATTTAAACGGCCTGATAGGGGGTTACAACCGGAGCGAATTCACGAAAGAGAAAAAGGCATGTGGAACTTTACCTTATTTTAAGTTTTAAAACACCAGACTTGATATATTGGAATCACACTTCAGACACACTGCTAGTCAAGTCCAAATAAGAACACAACCAAGGTGGACGCGTAGTAGAATAGGACAAAGAGCAAGACTTCCAGCCAGAACGAAGTCATGCAACCCGGGCCGCAATGGACGCACGATTTATCGACGTGCCCTACCGCGACGCGGCGTCGCGTGGCCGCTCAAAATTGCGCGTGACGTCTGCATTCACGTCATCTGCGCTCTCCGACAGGGAATTAGTGAATTCCGAGGTTTTTCGGGCAACGGTGCTCAGTTTATCGCGGCGTCAGTTCCACTAGACCTTCTATTGAAGAGCAGGAGTTCACCCAAACATTTCACGGAGCTTTGTGCGAAGAAAACTAAGTGTTAGTCGGATCAATTTGAGACCATTACTGGATTCTAAACTCTGTAACCAGCCTTCCTCTAGGCTAAAAGAAGATTACTGGGGATCCACTGCACTAAGAAGCGTGCGGTGCCCGCCCTGGTTGATGCTCCTACAGTGATTTCAATTGGCAGCAGGAGGAAATCCCGGTTACTATCAAGCTATTGGGATTACAGCAGGACTCACGAGCTTTTCACTGGCTCTCTCCTCACTGAAATAGACCCAATATGTGAGACATTTGAGCAAATGTCGCGCAGTGCCAAAGGTATAATGTGGTACATTTTGGCCTTAACTGACTCTCACCTTGCCGAGAAAGGCCCCTATTTGCCCCTGTCTCTTAATTCCTGTCCGAATTTTGACACTTTTGTTTAGTCAACGTTTTATCTCTTCTAGGAAACAACTGATCAATAGCATAACCACCATCATGGTCACTGATATGCGTGCATTTGCTAGGGAGCGTTTGGAAGCTTTCAGCCCAGAATGAAGGAAGCTGGGGGTTGAAGAATTTGGAGAAGGTCGTTTTTGGGGTGGTCGTATTCTTTAACCTTTTTCTCTCACAGATTCAGGGCGCAGGGGAGGCGATAGTCCGATGGAGCAGTGCCAGTGCTGTAAGTCCGATGGAGCAATGCCAGTGCTGTACGGTGGATGTAGAATTGCGGTCCTGCCCACCTTCCTCAGAATGT